ACGCCTCAGGCCAATCTGCATCGTCCAACCAGGGCTCCAAAATGTCCTGACGCTCCTGATCTTAGTTTTGCTCATGTTTGTCCTCTTCGTCACCAGCATCATGATAGGAACTATCGTCAGTCGCACAGCTACCTGCAGCAGTCTCATGACCATCATCAACATTATACTTTCATCATCCACCAAGTCGTTATTATGCACGAGTGCTGTGACCAAGGTGGTCTCTGTCGAGTCCCGGTTCCGAGAAACCGTAGTAGCAAGTGTCATAGTATCAGTGACGGGGCACATAGAGCTCGTCGCAGAGTACAGCGAACCATATATCACTTCCCTTTATTCACTTGCACTTGCAACCCACAGCTCGTCTTCAACCGCACCGGATTTGGAGACGAAGGTTTAGCTGCTGTCAAGCCAGTGGCAGCCTCCCCCACATGAGCAAAAACCGTGACCCCACATGCAGCCTGCCTTTTGCGGCATTCTTACGTGATGCACTCCTTGAGGCTGCGGGTGCCTTTGTAGATGCCCAAAGTGTTGACTGTTGCTGTCAGTGGCATACAGGTGTGTTTGTACAATTTGTATTTATATATATATATATATACATACAGATAAATACATATATATATATATGTGTGTGTGTGTGTGTGTGTAGACAAATACCCAAGCAAAAATGCCAGTAGAAACATACAAACACATATGCCATCGCCACCAAGGACCTTCTTCCGACGAAACTGCTGCCAAGGCACTCAAGGCTGAGGTGCTCGCGGGAGAAAGGCGAATGCATCAAGTCACCCTGCCCATTCCTCGGTAGAGGGTTTAGGGTTTAGGGCTAAAGAAAGCTCCGAAAGGGACCCTAAGGAATAGTATAGTTAATTCTTCACCCTCAACCCACATTAAATCCTAGTAGGGCGACAGAGTCGCGAAGCACAGGCAGCACCCCAGGCTCGCCCCTCAAACTCGAAAAGGGCTCTAAATCTGATTCCCGGGGGAGGAGGGTGTAATTAGCATTTTTCCCCTGCATGAAGCTGGGGCCATGCTTGCAACTTCTCAAGCTGTCCTGATCTGTTCTCAACTTACATACACTGCTACGCACAAATAGCTGCATGATGCTGCACGCATCCATAAAGATCTGTCCGCGCACACATGCAGGACGATGCTGCATGGTTGCTCGCTCATACACAACTGCGAACTCGACTTGATCTTTGAATGTGCGTCTTGACAAGCAGTATCTTTTCCATACAAATGTGTCCGTATGTGCACATGTGTAAGTATGTATGTAATTATGTTTGTTTGATTGTATGCATGCAAGCATTTATGCATGTTTTGAAGCACCCAAGCAAGCATGCATGCATGCATACATGCATGTATGCTAACGTAAGCAGAGTCAGTATCCCATGCCCTCCCGAATTTCCAAATCCAAGTCACCACTTCTCTGCATCGTCCATGGTCAGCCTTGGGAGACTTCGCAGCAGCATGGCAAGCTTAGGGTTCTGCATCCACGATCATCCACGTCCAAAGGCGCACACCTATTTCGATTGCCTGATGACTGCATTCGAGCGAAACCGGACCGAACGAAACACTTATCCACTCAATGACTGAAGCAATCTACCAACAGCGACTATTTACGGCCACGTTTCCTCGCTGCACTCGTTCACACATCAGAGGCAGTGCGAGCACAGGGCGATATGGATTCTTCGAGCTGAGTCCGGAGACTTTGCAAAGAGTTGAACCGGTAAACCCTGAGAAAATGTAGGGGCCTAAATAATTACTAATACTTTTTTACGGCATCCTGAATAAATTATAGTAAAATGGGCCCCAAAACCCTATTCGAATTATTCAGGCCCCTATATTCGACAGCACGTGTCAGAGCGAGGCCAATAAACCGCTGCACCCCCACATGCAAGCCCAGCGTGCCGTTCCAGTATGAATGCTTGGGAATTCTGGAACAACCGACTTTTCCAAAAGTCCACCAGGCTCCTGACCTACCAAAGGCTGTGCAGTTGCAACCGAGAGCAACTAGGCCTGCAGGAAAAAACTGCCTTTATGCCCAATGCAGTTCTGCGTGATTACTGAAAACTTGAAGGCCTGTTTGCCAACCCGGCTGGCCCCCTTGGCAAGACAATTGCTTTGATGCTACGGCAGGCTGAGCACTTAGGGTTTAGGGGTGCTTGTTATTGGGCTACACGATTCCCACCGGTATTTTGGCCATGCATGAGAGAGTCTGAGCGAGAAACAAGAAATAGAAAATGAGACGTATTAATATTCGATAGGAACATAACAATACAAAACAACATACATTCTATGACTCTGCATCTATACCTATACAACATGACATTCACCATTAGACTATACATACATACATACATACATACATACATACATACATACATACATACATACATACATTACATGCGTATATGATCACACACATATACTGTTAGACAATACTATGCATGTGTGTAAAAGCTTATAAGACTAGATCACAACACGTCAGAGGATAAGCAACATGTATGATTGCAGCTCTTTCAGAGGCATTGCCCTCCCTGCCCAACGCAAATCGAACGGTTGACTCCCACAGTCAGATTCGGAAGCTGACTCAGATGGTCCACGAGCGTCCTGACAGCAGATTGCGCGCTACACAAGCTTTCAACCCAATAAAAACCTTTGCATCAACGCAGTAACGTTGCTTTCACGTGGCACGATCGCCGAGTTCAAAACAAGTAATTAGAGAATCAGCTGGCTCTTGGCAATCCTTGTCGCTTCGGAAAGTTTCAGCGGCCTTGCTTGCATATTCCCAAAGCACACTTTGGCAAGCAGCTGCTCACGTCAGCCCTGCAGTCGTCTAGCTAAGCCAGGACACAATAAAATTACGAGTATGAATGCTCTGACTCTATACAAAGCTCGGCAGCCATAAACCAGCCAAATCCCTGAACCCCGTGGAGCTTCATGAATTTTGTGGAAGCCGAATGACCGCGAACCCACTCTATGCCAAAGCCCAAACCTAAACCCAAAAAAAAACTAAACGCAAAGCTTCGGGATCTTCTGTAGAGCTCTATATACTATAGCTTGCCTGTAGAGGCCATGATCTTGAGTCTCGTTCGCCAGCTTGGAGACTTCGTCCTTCATCTCGTGAAACCGCTCCTGGCTGAGACTCTCGGGTTTCGGTTTTGGGTTTAGGGTTTTGGGTTTAGGGTTTAGGGTTTAGGGGTTTAGGGTTTAGGGTTTAGGGTTAATTACCCCGGATAGAGAGATTTTGGTCGGTTGCGACCCTCATACGGCAGAGCCA